AAAATGTTGTTTTTATTTAATTAGGCACTCAACATTGAGTGTCTAATTAAATAATAACAACATTTGGGTGTTATAAGGTCGTTTATTTCTAGTATTAACACTAACAATATGATTGATTTTTACTAGTCACCTGGTGGGGCAGCGGTTAAGTTTACGGAATTACAATGCTAAAATCTGGGGTTCCATTTACTGTGGTGGACAGAATGCAGGTAGCTCTGTTGTGTAGCTTTGTGCTAAAAAAACACAAAAAATGCTTGTTATGAAGATTTAGAAAAGTAGTAGATATATGACCGAAGCTCTTCGTCTCCTACAAAAATATTAAAATCCCTCATCTATCCATCATCTCCTTCTGCTTTAGGTTTCTTAACGCAGTAGTTCATCTGTTTATATTTTTCACAATTGTGTTATTGTGTAGTGGAAATTAAACTTGAAAATATCACTGGGAGATTTAAACAGGCATTCTTAAATATGTTTTATTAAATATTTTGATAGCCAAACAAAAAACAAAGTTATTTACATGGCAAGTATTACACTAATTACACCTTTATATATATATATATATATATATAATGAACAGCAAACAATTTCAACAATTATTGATTTATTAACTGTAAGGTCAGGAGACATGCTAAGCCTTATCACTTCATTGTTAAATAGGACCAAGATTATAACAGAGAAGGATTATACCAGCTGTTACCAGAACAGGGTAAGCTGCTTAATCACTGGTTGTTCACACACCCACACACATAAATTCAAATCACATCTATTTAATACACCAATTGTCTAATAAGTTTCTAAAAGTACAGCAACGAACTTTAAATCTAAAACATTTCATCTAAGACGTAGCTTACTTACTGCTTAGGGATAAATCTCTTTGTAGCTCACTTCAAAAATATCGGTCATACCATTTGTTAACGCATCTCATTGGAAATTTAAATTTATCACTTTTATCTACATGTTTTTCTTTCATCATCTACAAAGTAACTTATCACATTAAACGGTCTTCCTTTAATGGGTAATATATGTGATATTACAGCACAATATAACTGATAATAATTCAAACACACCATATTTACTGGTCTTGTAAAGAATGGTGTGATTTATACTATTATCAGTTTCATTCTGATATAATATTACATGCTGACAGATCATCCTCTGCCAGTTAAATAATTGAACTATATATATATACTTAGGACTAGTGATCCTGCATTTTCAAACATTTTAACGATTATTTATAACAGTGATTAATATTATATATATTTTAACTTGTCCACAACATTGTTCTAAATTATCTGAAACGGTTGTTTCTTGGTGAAGCACATTTAATATGTATTCAGTGGAAATAGAAAATAACTGATTATATTTCATGAATTTGTAGAGGGCGCCTCTAACAAGGAATGTAGACTCGGACTAGCGAAACATTCCTGCCCCCGGATATTAAACGCCAACTAAGGTTAACATCGGAAGTCTTCGAGTCATCTTATTAATTTACAAATGAGCACTTCAACAAAAACAGCTAGCACCATAAACACGAAGAATGATGAAATGCATAGAAGTTTCCAAAGGATATCAAAAGTTTTACTTGAATTCTTAAGTAAAAATCTTTGAATTTGGCACAAATACCCATAGCAGTAACGGGCTATTGACGCCATTTTTAAATTAAGGATATGACGGAGAAGAAAACGTGAATGCTTTAAATTCTTCATAACTTTAGCACCATATATCGTCATTTTTATGACGTCAAAATCATACTCAAAACACCTGCGAAAAGTCATAGTGACTTGATGATGCTACTTCTCCATTTAGTGACTCATCTCAAAATGCAAATTTAGTGTTAACTTTAACACTTGCGAAGAGTGAGTAATTTCTGTGATTAAGGGAGAAGTTACAAAGCGAAATGCGTAAATTCCAAAATATACAATAATACTGTAATTACATTCATGAAACATCAAATCAGAAACGGTTTCACGAGTTGAAGATGAACTCGCAACAAATTTACAATTCATTTGAAATACATTAACAGCAGAGTTCAAATGATGAATATAAAACCCGCTGTTCGTGATGATAGACTTGAATCCAACTTTTTTGTCCCAAAATATTAATCGGCAAAATAAAATTACTTTAAAAATACGAGAATGCTACTCAAATTTACCCTACACAAAAGTAAAATGCGCAAAAAAACACTATACGTCCTTCGGCATTGAATGTTGGTAGTTAGAAGAGAATTTGAAGACGAAGATATATTTGTTTGGTTTGTTATTACATTTAAATAAAATGGAAATATCGAAGTAATACTATATTGAAAATATGTATTAGAGCGGGCCGACAAATATCTGAATACAGTAAGGCAAAGT